TGGCACAGCTTTAATAAAAAATGTTAGGTCAAAATACGAAATTTTGAACCTTCGTCTCGTTCAGAAAATAAGTATTTCCCTTTTTTAACAGTGAAATAAACAATATTCTGAAAAACTGGTTGTGCCATTCGATAGAGCTCATCGAGTTCTATCTGGCACACTTATTTCTAGAGATGGCACAGCTTTAATAAAAAATGTTAGGTCAAAATAGAGAAATCTGCTGCTAACTTCCCTTACGTACTAAATTTCATGTTCTTTGTGTTAGTTTAGCAAAATAAAACGGTGAATGAATATTTCCTGAGTACTCACTGAGTGACAATACTCAAAAACTGTTAGTAGTACTAATATGAGTACTCATGGACGAATTATGAGTAAAGTCGTACTCATCATATGAGTACTTTCATTAGGGTTGATTCCTCTAAATGTGCCGTGTTGTGCTTTGCTTCAGTTCTTTCCCTGTCTCACTCAACGAAATTGATCGGAAAGCGACATGATGAAATTGCGTCGCTTTAAAAAGTTTAAGAAACACACGTAGCCACTTCTACAGCGAAGACAGCGCGATCATTTTCGCAGTTATAGATGACGTTGCGAGTGATTAAATACTTCCTAGCGCATTAACAAAGCATAAGTACAATCGTTCATTGAAATATATTTTTTTTTATTTCTTCAGATTTATTACGATAAACTTGCTGAACTAACTTTGGGAGTCCTCACGCAACTTTGGAATGGCACTGCATAGCCAACCAACACTTCTGAACAGTATAGCGTTCCATTTACGATTTCATTGCAGGAGAAACAAACAAAATACCTCCGATTCGGTCGGTTCCTTGACTTTTGTGATGCTTTTTTGCTGGTGCTGATCAAGTGAAATGCGCTGTGCAAGTCCGTGCCCGAAATTACTTTCATATCAGCACACTGTAGTTCGTAGAAACTTACAAAATAAGAAACTGCCCATGTGCTGAAAATCGCTTCATTTTTGTCGATTAATCGCGATGGTTGAAAAAATCGACGCTCAATCGCGATTCGGGAAAAAACGGTCATTTAATCGCGATTAAGTGATAATTTTTTCGTGCATCGCGATTAATCACGAAAATCATCAATTAATTGCGATTAATTGTTGATTTTAAGTGATTAAATGGTTGTTGTTATTCACCGTTTTCTTTTGCAATAAAGTTTGTATATAAGAAACACGATTTCAGCGAAAAATACACTTATATTCAGATCATCTTTTTATTTTAGAACACAACGGAGTTGTCAAGAGTCTTCTCTATTGTTCCTCAGAGCTTTAAACCGAGAAGCTGGTATGTGAGCACTGTTTAAAGCTGACTCTTCGGCAAGACTCCGACGCCAGCTGGAGCTAAGACCATTGCTGTGTGACGCACATATCATTATACGTAATAAACAATGAAAAAACAGAAAAAAATATATATTTCCTAAGATGGGTTCGAACCTAGTACCTAGAAAAAAATCGTCAATTAATTGCGATTAAGCGCACGATTAATTGCTGATTTTTAGTACATGGGTGCAGTCTTTATTTTTTCATGAAGACGCGGTAGCTCAAATTCGTCGCAACTCGGAAAAGCCGTTATCATTTTGGTGCATTTAGGTCTCTATTAACATCTCTTCGTAACATTTGGCATCAGCTCCATCTAACCAATTATTGAACGTAAATGAGCATTATTTGACAGAAAGAAGAAAAGATATTTGAAATTAATATTTGATTTTTCAGTTTTTCCCCAACTTATACAGTAAAACCGAGTGTTACTGAAGGTCTACTAGTTAAAATAACTTACTGAACAATTGAAAGACTTCTGATTATTCACGGTTTGCATTTCTAATGTGAACTTAGTTTTATTTTTATTTGTACATATAAGTATGGTCCGTGTTATTCATTTCTGTGTATTGCTTTGTGATTTATAGATTTACTCAAAATAAAAAACAATGCCTTCTAAGCGGAAATTTATCGACAAGAAAAAAGCTGTCACATTTCAACTTGTTCATCGTAGTCAACATGATCCTCTCATCTCCGATGATACGGCTGGCGAACATGTGCTCGTACCATTGAGTGGGGATAAAGTATTTTACATTCCATATAAATTTTCTTTTTTTACATAGCAATGATGTTTTTTTTAGACTATTCAAAGAAAAGTTGAACAAAAAAAATTTGGAATTGACTTTGATGATGAATATGATTATATGCAACATTTACGAGATCCTTGCGCGCCACCTGAACGATATGCAGTTGAAATTGATCATACAGCCGACAATCAAGACGACACGGAATCAATCAAAGCATCTGTTCACGACGAAGTAAGAAAAACTGCTTTATAAAGGAAAGCAAATCTATTTCGGTTTGCAACGTTTGAGAAGTGTTTTATAAAACAGGTATCTGCGAAACAACACATGTTTCCCTCTGTCGAAAGGTACACCAAACTTGAAATAAGTTCATATCTCCTTAACGGTAGTAACATGTGCTAAATGATCATTCATTCTCTTAATGATTATTATTCTCGCTAAATGATTATTCATTCTCTTATAATTTTTGCCTTTAGGCTGTTTCAAAATTGAATTTACCATCAACTGTGTTTGAAAGTGAAGTTGAAAATGATATTGGAATGTTGAATTTAGCTGCACCTGATTCGGGTAGGGATACTTCTACGTCTGGTAAAAATTATATTCTGACATTTTTTGTTTTATTGACTTTAGGTCCAAAAGTTCACTGGGATCCGGATATCATTGCTGCTTTAGACGATGAGACATTTGATTATGAAATTGACGAAAATGCGTTGGACGATGATTTTATGATGCAAGCAAATTGTATTGAACCATTAGCAGAAGAAGATTATGAAGAATTTGAGTAAGGCTATATGTTTGAGAATATTTTTTTTGTATGTAGAAACTATTTTGCGGATGAGTAACGATATTCTATTCATTGTTTGTAGTCATAATTTTTATATTCAACTAGCTGTAGGTTGTCTTCTTTCTTACCCTGCACTAATTTATTTTTGTTTTGTTTAGAGATGAAATTCCCGATGCACTTGATACAAACCCGTTCCATATGGTACCAAAATTTATTCCCAAAACCAATAAACCGATTCCATTAGCTTTGAGACGATTTTTAGATGTTGAGGATGGAGAAGAGGAAGATGGTACAACAAAAATGAAACGAAAACATAAGAACAGTGAAGAAGATGGAGGCTCGACTTGTAGTGACGATCAGAAAACATCTCAAACAAAATATACAAATTATTCAATGACATCATCTGTTATCAGACGAAATAACGGATTACAACTAATCGACGAACAATTTGATAAGGTATTAACAAAATGAATATGCTTAACTTAGTAAATTTATTTCTTTGACGCTTATAAATCGACATAAAGATTTTTATATGAATTAAATTTATATTTATGTTTTTAGATATTTGATGAGTACGGTGATGATGATATCGGACCATTGGATGCAGAAAGTATTGGTGAAGATGGCATTGAGCAAAATGATGATTTAGTTAAACAAACAGTTAGGCAATTTGAAGATGAACAAGAAAAATCGTATGTTGATCCTCGTGTGCAAAGTTTTTAGTTTTTAGTTTTTCCTCTAAAGTTTAAACACCTTTTATGGATCTGTTTCAACAAGGAGATTATAGATTGAGTGACTTTGAAACGGTCTCAGAAGACAAAAAGTATATTTGGGTGATGCTTACTTCACTATCTTAATTTTCAATAAACGATAATATTTTTGTTTATTTATCCTAGTGATGCTCAAATAGAAAAAATTGCCATAGAAAAAACAAAAAAATTATTATCAAAACTTGAGCAAGAGCAAGATCAACCGAATGAAAAAGATGAAATTTTTCTTGTCGACAATAATTTTGATAAAGATAAAGAAAAATGGGATTGTGAAACAATTTTGAGTACATATTCGAATTTATACAATCATCCACGTTTAATTCAACAAATACCAAATAGAAAACAAAAAATTCGACTATCACAAAAAACTGGACTGCCATTGATAGAAAAAGATGAACAACAAAGTAATAGTGAAAGTGACGAATCAGAAGATGACGATCAAGAGTCCGCGATGTCAAAAGTATCAGATTTAAGCTCGATATATCAACGCAAAAAGAATGAAACAAGCGAAGAGCGAAGGGCTAGAAAACAAGCAGTCAAAGATATTAGAAGAGTAAGATTTATACACAGTTATTTAACAGTGTGTCCCATCTTGTAAAAGGCAGATTTTTGTCTGATGCACGTAATTTTAAACCCACCGATGGGGTTAAAACTGCTTTTCAAAAGTTGCAATATAAGAAAATTTCTAAAATAGTTGGTACGGTTATAACTCAGGTTGATAATTATAACTATTTGTACTTCATTTATAACTACCAACTCGAGTTGAAATTCCGTAAGTTCATTGCAGTTTGTATTGTACTATTGCCGAATGTTGATGTACGAACTACGAGTTGATCAGAATTCAAAGAAATTTCTGGATTCACTCCCACATTTACATCGACTTTTGTTGTATAAGCTAAAAACGTATCGAAATGGAAGATGCATGGGTGAGATTAACAACTATCAAAATGAAATTGTTTGAAAGCATCCGCATCATAGGAGCCCCTATGCCAATATTTTTAATTTTTTGCGTATAGGGGTCCAGGAAAGCTTAATTTTCTAGAAAAAAAGTAAGAGTGAATCATTGAAAGCAGGTGAGATATAGAGTACTAAGAGACGACTATGCTGTCGTTTAGTCAAAAGAAATTAGAATGTTTGGTGCGTTTCACAGAATTTTCCAAAAAAGTCATTTTTGCAATGGTTGTTGTTTGTTTCTGCAAATGGAATATCTCCATGAAAATAAAACGAGACTTCAAACTAAAATTCATTGCATTGAAATTGTCTTTCTACACGGTATTCGATGGTGTAAGAATTATTTAGTTGTGTCTATACACGAAAGTAGAAAAATTCGAATACCGGCAGGGATTTTCGAATTTTTGTCAATTTTTGCCTTAATTTTTTCAAAAACTTCGAATTCCTAAGACTGTCCCCATATATTTTTCGTATCTATTTCACATGTTCTTTCAAATCCCCCAATCATTAATTTTGTCCAATGAGTCTGAAAAAATGCGATTTCCCGTTAGCTTCGTGCTGGTATTTGGTCACTTTGTAAAACTCCTTGGGCAGAACTAATTCTTGTGTGCTTTGATAGTCCTAGCGGTCTAGATGACGAGGAAAAATGCGAGAGTTCATGAAAATTCGATTTTGTCGAGAAAAACAATCCGAAAGTCGAGTCAATCCCGCTCTATATTCGGATTACTGTGTTTCCATTTGAAAACCATTCCGATTGATTTGTGCTCCATAAAATATGGCGCAGACAGACGATTCTAATCGACTAATTAGGTTTCATTTTTCCTTTTGTTTTGATTCTTTTGTAGTACCTGTAAAAAAGATTAAGTAACCTGTAAAGATTTCTGAACTGTCTTCTGGGAGCAGATGGAAGGATTTGGAGTTTTTACAATCAAATCACGAGCAAGCCCAACCTTTTGCTATATAATCCACGAAAAAATTAAGGCTCCAATTTACTTTTTATACAAGAAAATTTTCTGAACCTGGTCCTCCTAAACCCAAAAACATCCCACATGCGGATGTTCGATTATCTTCGATGCCGATATTGTGGAATTCACTAAAGATGAGTTATTCACTGTGGATAACACATGGCTTTCTGTCAAATACAATCATACAGTTAAAAATTGAACAAACAGTTTTTATGGTGGGGCTTCATTTGAGTGCGTCTCATCTGAGTGCGTCTCATTTGAGCGCATTCTCGTTTTAGTTACTAACGGTAATCTTATGATTACACCACTGAGAATTAATCTCAAACAGTGGTGACGGAAATAATTCAAATGTTTCAAAATATTTTGAGGAATGGGTTGTGTAATTGAAAACGCACCCAAATAAGACGCACTAAACTAAGACACACTAAAATGAGAATGTGCTCAAATGAGACGCACTAAAAAAACACGCACTCAAATGAGATGCACTCATATGCCACACACTCCAGTTTTTATCTTCTTTCGTTTTACGACTGCATCATGTGACTCAAAAAAAAAAAAATGTCAAAAAATAAGAACGGAAAAAGTTAGAAGTACTATTAACTAAAGTTATAACTATCAACTCGGATTGATAGTTATAACTATTTTAAATTTTTGATCGCAAATTAAAATATTTATCAGTAGTTTTAACTCCGTTTTAACGTAAACATTTAGTCTCTCGTCTATAGAGCAACTACGCATATTAGAAACTTAGTATCAAGCTTAAAGTACTTGATTACTCAAATTAAGATAACTGATCTCACAAAAGTTTAAAGGGACATTTCATCAAAAGATTGATAGTTAGAATAATCTTTTTTTACTGGAACGTATTAGACATTTGCTTATTTACTAATTTCTTTCCTATGTATTTCAAAGGATCGTCGTCAAATTAAAAAAGCGACAAAACTTGTATTTAAACAAGAAGAACAAAAACAACTTCAACAGTTACAGACCACACAACAACATTTACAAAGTTTGAGAGTCACTTAATGTGCTGCTAACCATTTGTTTATGCACTTTTTATATTCAATTGTTATTGCTTTTTTAATATAAAAATAAAGAAGAAAAATCAACAATCGATCGTTATTGTATTTTATATTGTGAAGTATTAACTTGAGAATCGAGCGTAGATTTTGAATAAGATCTACCATCCATTTCAAAATATAATGCTCGTAGCTGTTTTCTGAATAACTTTTGATCGGAAGCAGCTAGTAAGATGCGGTTTTCGCCATTCTATAGACAACACTTTGAAAGCACCTTTTGAGTGATCGGATTTATAATAATTATTCTTAATTTAAGAATTAGATAGTTTAGTGAGTAGCTCATATGCAATTTATGTAGAAATTTTCACGTGATTTCGATGAATTTTGAATTTATTCATTTTCGATGAAAATGGCCTGAAATCTATTACTTTCGAATACTTAAATTCTGATCTGATTTTTGAATTTTTTCTAAAAACAAATATCGCAGCCACACTAGATAATCTATGTTGGACATGTGCTTTTGAGGTATTGAAGCTCGGAGTGTTATTAACATTTATTTGGCATACTCGATGCACAACACTCATGATCATCTGAAATTTATTCATAATGTTAACAAAAATTAACATTTAGCTCAAAGATTACAAGTCTGACACAAATTATTTGAAAAACCCTGGCGAGGATGTTGAACCATCTCTAAGTCTTTATTCAGAAAAAGTTGTGGTGGATGTACTTTGGGTTATTAAAGATCCATTTATATTAAAAAATTTAAGAATCTACGATGATTGTCACTTTTTATTGACATTGATGTCCAAAACTTGCCGGTAATATATTATTGTTGAAGATGTTTTACAATGTCACTACTTCAGAGAGGAATACGGTTTATGTAGCAACTTTTTCTAATATATTTTTGTAGTGTATGGTTAGACTTCAATTTTTATGAATAATAAAACATGATATTTTACTTCTCTGCACTATATTTGCAGATAGGTAGCGAAAAACTAGTTTTTGTAATAAAATATTCAACCTCTAGTAGGAAGGATGAAAGTTCAATATGTTCTCTATGGTGCACCTGAGTTTTCTGTAATTAAAGTTAGAAATAGTGAAAATATCGAATTTCTTCAATTTAATTTAGCTTTTGTTGATAACAGTCATCACATCAATGGATCATATTTTAGATAAATTTCCTGTTTTAAAATGTCTGGAACGCATAAAGTTGAAATACGTGAAACAAAACCGTTTACTGATCAAAAACCGGGTACAAGTGGTCTAAGAAAACCGACAAAAACATTCAAAGAAAATAATTATTTTGAAAATTTTATTCAATCATATTTTGACGACGTACAAGAACAAAAACCACTTCAACAATGTACACTGGTGGTAGGAGGCGATGGACGAAATTTTGTTAAAGAAGGAGTAAAAATCATCATACAAATGGCAGCTGCCAATAATGTGAGTAATTGTTTTATATAAAAAATGCATCTAATCAGTTTTATATGCTTAAAGGTTCATAAATTAATTGTTGCCTCCAATGGGATTATGTCAACTCCTGCGGTGAGTAATGTAATTCGAAAATATTCAACAGATGGAGGAATTGTTCTTACAGCCAGTCATAATCCAGGTGGAATTAATGCTGATTATGGAGTAAAATTCAATATTTCAAATGGAGGTAAGAGTTCATTCGCTAGAAGTCTGTCTCTAATTAAATCAAATTGAAATATTTACAATGAGAGTTAATCTTTCATTTAGGTCCTGCTCCAGAAGCTATTACAAATAGTATTTGGGATAAAACACGTCAAATTACCCATTTTAAAATTTGTTCAACCATCGACATAGACATAAGTCAACTTCACAAACAACAATTTCAAATTGAAGGTTCTTCTCAACCGTTTGAAGTTGAAATTATCGATAGTGTTGATGATTATGTTGAGTTAATGAAATCTATATTTGATTTTGATATTCTCAAATCTTTACTCAATTATGAAAAGGAACATTTTAAAATTATGATTAATGCACTCAGTGGTGTTATGGGACCGTATGTAACGAGAATATTTCATCAAGAGCTACAAGGAAAAGACAGTGTTATAGTAAAAAATTGTCAACCGTTAGAAGATTTTGGAGGACATCATCCCGATCCAAATTTGACATATGCTCATGAATTAGTTGAGGATATGGAACATGGTGATTATGAATTTGGAGCAGCATTTGACGGAGATGGTGTAAGTTACTTTTCATGTATGAATGATTTCCTGAAAATTTATTTCAGATTATTTTAGGATCGTAATATGATATTAGGTAAAAAAGGTTTTTTTGTTACTCCTTGCGATTCATTAGCTGTACTGGCTGCCAATCTTAATGTTATACCTTATTTTCGGACACATGGTATCAATGGTTATGCAAGATCGATGCCAACATCCGGAGCTGTCGATAGGTACTTCTTAATATGATTAGAAGAATTTCAGATTTTATAATGCTTTTGTTTTATTTCTAGAGTTGCAAAAAAACAAGGAAAAGAACTATACGAAACGTATGTAGAATTGAGTTTTACAAAAGTTTTTTGACGTAATAATCTAAGTCAATCGAGTTGACTGATTTGAATTTTTATTCAAAACATGGATATAACGTTCTTTTTTTAGACCCACTGGTTGGAAATTCTTCGGCAATCTAATGGATTCAAAAAAAATTTCAATTTGTGGCGAAGAATCGTTTGGTACTGGATCTGATCACATTCGGTATATATTTGAAAATGAGACTGAATATATAGCAGCTAATCTATAGTATTATTTTAGAGAAAAAGATGGTATGTGGGCTGTATTAAGTTGGCTATCAGTATTGGCCACTGTTAATAAATCTGTTGAACATTTATTAAATCAACATTGGCAGACATATGGAAGAAATTTTTTTACAAGGTATTCAGAGAGTTTAAAAATCTCTTCCAGTTAGATGTTATTATTTACCTTTGTTTAGATATGATTATGAAGAAATCGATGGTAGTGGTCCATTTGCAATGTTAAAACGTTTAGAAGGTTTTTGTATGTCAAATGAACTTTTAAATAAAACATTTCCATCTGGAACAAAACAGTATACCATTCAGTTAATGGACGATTTTAATTATACAGATCCTATTGATCAAAGTTATACGGAAAAACAGGTAAACTAAGAGCAAATTAACAATTTTTTATTTCTATGAGTAGAATACGATATTACAAAGGATTAAAATCGTTTTTATAATCATTTCAAAGTTCGAATTCTGAATTATGATTTTATATGCTTTTTATTAATATTTCTATTTTTTTGTGTTTAGGGTATTCGAATAATATTCACGGATGGCTCGCGAATTGTATTTCGTCTTAGTGGTACAGGTAGTCGTGGAGCGACAGTTCGATTGTATGTTGATAGTTATGAAAATGATCCAAGTACATATGACAAAGATGCTCAGGTAGAGAGAGAGAGAGATCTGTAAGTTGTTCTAATTATTTATTGTTTTATTTTGTTTCTAGGAAATGCTGCAACCTCTCGTATCATTAGCGCTAAATATTGCTCAATTAAAAGAATTTACTGGTCGTGATAAGCCAACTGTTATTACTTAAAATAATAAGTCAAAATCATAGCAGCGAGAAAGACTAGAGAAATAGGATCTATTAATTTAATGTTGATTTTAGGATAGAACCATACTTTTTTTATACTGATGTAACCAGAAGAGGACTTACTTCTGGCCACTAATTTTTCATGGTCAACCGATGCCTACTAGTACGTTTTTGTTTGTTTATTATTCCCGCGACCTACGTTTATTATTACATTTTAAACCCGTGATTTATTTATTTTTATTGTTTTTGTAGCCAAAATAAATATTTGATAACACTTGGAATCAAAGAGCGTTGTTCAAAAACGGTATTATAAAATTCTGATTAGATAGTAGCACAGAGACTATTTGGAACTGAAACTATTTTTACTCATTACCGCAGTTGTAGAAGTTATTGAAGAGGAAAGGATTTAAAATGTTTGGATGGAAGATGGAAGAATAGCCATTCTTGCGGCTACTGTCATCGGAGTGCAGAGACAAAAACTTATCTCAGATTCAATACGCCCATATCTTCCCTACAGTTGACAAGCTTCTGACATGATCATCCATATGGTTACTAATCACCAACTGTAGCTCTGAACAGAACAGCTAGCCTGACGTAGAGTTCTTGAATACCTTGATATTGAATGTCATACCTTGAACTTGATGAAAAAACATTTGAACTTTTTATATCCAGACCATGATTGAAAAACTCTCACGTTAATGAATAAGAATTTGTCATCCTCTTCTCTTAAAATTCTTTACTTCCAAAAATCTTCCTTACAGGCGCATCTGAACAGCCAGCGAGTTAGAATTAGAATGAGAGAATGAAAAAAATTAGAAATAAGTTTTGTAAAAAACAATTACCAGAAATTTTTATATAGCAAATGATGTTTTCCGTATTTTCACTACCATAAAAGTGTTTTCCAGCAATATTTAGTGGTAACATGGCAGTCAAATGCACTTACGGCTAAAGTCACCAGTGTGTGATGAAAATTGTGGTTATGATAAAATTTTAAGCAGTCCACTCTGTGGATTATCGAATAGAAAAACTTGATTATTAGAAAGTCATCCATTAGCAGAGTAAACCAGAAAACTGATTTATAAAATTTATGTTTCTTCCACTGAGTATTTTTGATGTATACATAGGATTTATCTGAAATATATTTGGCGTAATTTACTTCATTTAGAACAAATTGCCAGAGCGAAGCTTCTTTCAGGTTCGAATATGAAAATAGTAGCCTTGAGTTAATGTGGAATAGATGAAACTAATATTTACACTTCCATATAACAGTAGATACCCACATTTCCTATCAAATTCATTCTGATAAATCAATACAAAATCTCTCTTGTACTTCACTGCTTAGGTCGGTCATTATTGGTTGAAAAAATACTTGAAATCACTTGTAAGAATATTTTACGCGCAAATATATTAAAAATATGATCAATTTCATTAAATCACAATATAGACTGACGTATACTTGTAAAGTTTGCTGATTTGTACTGTAGTTTCTTTTCTTTTAACATTTTTTTTTTTTTGATAAATCAGTAACAACTCAAACTCTAAAGCAAATAACGACAACAAGTTTTGACAAAAACAATAAGAGTTATTGATTCTTTTTTTGCTTACTAATATTTAATTCTAATATTGATTTTGTCATAAAAGAAGATTCTTTTTGTTTTGTCTTTGTCCTTATTATTCTTTTAGGACCAAGCAAAGAAGTAGATATATGAAAATCTTCTATATTTATTGCTCGGATAAGTTTTACCTCTGCATTTGAATCAATATTTAAGCATCTAGAATAATGTTTATTTGACGTTGAGAATATTTCGTTTATGAAATAATTATTGTCATATTTTTCTGTTTGTTGAACATATTTTTCGATTTATTTTAAAGAATGAAAGAAAAATAAGTGTAGAATATATGAAAGAAAGTGAATTTTTTTTCTTAAGATCATCATTGAATAAAACGGAAAAAATATACATTCTTGAGTACCCTTATTTGTTTTCTTGATATAATATATCTAGTTTTAGGTATATAACACCAAAATGAGCGGAAAAGGAAGCTGGGTAAGAGCATAGTCTAAATTTGGATCATCGTAATTATCAACAAAAGACCGCATACGTACTAGTGATCTCACCATATTTTTATCTCTTTAGATAAATATATTAGACACGCAAATAATGCTATTGTACTTTGATGCTATTTATTATTATTTTTTGTCAAAATTTCACGAGAATTCTAGAATAATTCATCTTTAAACATGTGTCGCACAAGGTAATTGACTATGATGAATTAGAATTGAATTCATTTCTGAATATTGATTGTCAGTTAACACGCATATAGAGTGATCATGGTTAATACACAGTATATTATCGTGCAAATTTTTCTGCTCAGAATAAAGAGGAATAATAATCAATGGCACTACAATAAAATTTAATTTGTACTTTCAGAATAATAAAGAATAATGATTGATAGTATTTTCAAAAAGATTTTTCTATCTATTACAGGTTGATTAAAGTGCTTATTTAAAGATGTTTGTATCAATTGGCTAAAACATTACTTTCTCTTGAAAGTTAGAAAATAAAAAATATAAATAGATCGAAACATCATAGACAATCTTCATTTTTGACTAACATTTTCTGTCAGCTTTATCGAATAAAAAGTCAATACTATTTAAATGTAATTGTAGAAAATGTCTTTTAAGAAAAATATTGAACGTAATTTCAAGTACCCAATTCACTTTTTTTGATCAAGGATGTTTTTTACTGTACACTTATACAAAATAATCTAAAATAGATAAAAACAAACAAAATTTTATTATTTATTAGAAATAAACTGAAATTAATGGACTACGATAAATGCTCGCCGTCACACTGTTTGGGTATACCAAAATGAGGGGTAATTGTTGGAATTTTTGCTAAATTATCCAACGGTATCGATCCATTGTGTGATGCTAATGAATTCAACGGTGTTGTAGGAGTAGTTGTTAGTAGTATTTGAGGAATTTGTTTTGGATATCTATTGATACTGCTACTAAGTGGATTTGATCGATCAGCAGCAGCAGCAGCAGCAGCATTCATGGAAAATTTTCGCAGATGCGATATTTGATGCGGTTCAATAGAAAAACGATAGTGATATGAACGAAATTTTTCGGATTTACATCGACGATTTTTCAATGACATAGGGCGACGTGTTTTTTGTGCTTTTTTTGGCGGAAGTATATACGTCGGAGAAAAATCATGCGATTTTAATGTTCTTGCTCCAATAACAAATTTATATTTAGACATTGAAAACGTGAATAATGTATCTCGTAGTGATGTCCGTTGTTGTACTGATTGATTATTTGTTTCTGGATAAGGATGATGATAAATAGGTGGTGACGCCGGCGTGGTACTCATTGTACCATTTTGCATATTTTGTTGTGTGATTAACGCTGTTTTATTTGTTTGAGAACTAGAATAAAATATGGGTGGTGAATGTTGTTTCAATAGGCTATTCGATGTTTGTCGAGATAAACGATTATGATGAGGTTGTTGAAGTAACTTCATTTGATGAAACGTTCTATAGTTATTGTTATGTTTTCCAGTTCCATTGTGATGATCATACGATTTATTGTGTAATGTATTTGCTCGAACGTGACGATAGGATGTGGATTGAGTAGCGATTGGCCATCGACACAATGTACGTTTAAAACCATTACGATAACGTTTTGACATAATATTGTATAAAACAGGATTCACTGTAGCTGATAAATAGTATAGTATACCTAGAAACAAGAAAATAATATATATTTAAAGAATTTTGATTTTATTTAATGATATTTGAACGATGGATTATTCAATTGATTATTAAGTATGATAAAATTATATGTTTTAGCTCAATTTAAATCAGAAAGATTAAAAGGAAATCAAGACGGACGGCATGTTTAATATTAACATTGAAAAAAATCTATTTCGACTCATTTCCTTTCTAATGATAATGAGTGTAATAGCTGGAATGTGTATGTTTTTTTATGATGTTATATAAAAAAAAACATACTGTCGTTCAGAAATCGTTCAATGATTCAGAACATCGTGGTTAAGGTATAATATATGCTTCAAAGAGTAATTTTAAATATTTCTGGTATTTTACTGATTGAACAGATTAAAAATAGATGGATATGAGAACAGTTTTATTCAGCTTTCTTTCGAATAGAAATTATACTATACTAACTATAGAATACCTTTTGATTATCATTATAAGATCTGTTCTGAACCCATCTGCTAAAACAAGTTTTATACGCCTTCAAACTATACATTAATCATCTCATATCATAAAAACATTATACTGCGTAATAGAATAATGAAAAAAAAGTAGCATCATTGTACAACAAAAATTGAGCTCATTTTTCTCTATTATTACTTATTTCATTGTTTGACAAATTCAAGTATTATACATTTATCTTCACAACTGTCTATTCAACACATTAATTACTATCAACACGAAATTAAAAAAGAAAAAAGAAAAAAAAAATGACAAGTCTATACTTACCGGATGTAAAAAAAAGTATTTCTTGAAATTTTGTTGCCGCGTCTGATGTATGATTTTTATTTGCTTTATCTAATAATCTTGTCACAAATGCTGATATGCGTTGAGTATGAAATGGGGCCCAACAGATAAAAAATGCAATGACAACGGCCACTATGATAAATAAAGTAGTTATTTTTTTCTTTAGTATTCTTTTTTGAAAAAATAGTACAAAAAATATTTCTTTTTTGTACAATAAACTTACCCAACATTTTTAATACTGCTCGACGCGAATTTCTTGGTCTTGATTTTAGCATAGAAATATTTTTATCTCTCCAATTTTCACCGGTAATTTGATTTTGTTTATGTGATGGTCTTCGACTTGCTTTATATAATGTAATACCCATCAGTATGTAGAGCACAGTAATGACAAATATAGGAATGACAAACACTAAAAATGTTGTGACAGCCATATAATATAACATTGGCTCCCAATATTCAGGTCTAATAGCACATATACGACTATCTAAAATTTGCACTGTTTGATTACGAATTTCAGCTGGTACACTGACAAAGACACCTAAAAATATACACAAAAAAATGAAATAACATTAACAAAACATCTTATTATGTATATTAAAAATATTGATAATTACCAGCAGTAAATGTATATGGTACGGCTAATAGAAATGATAGAAACCAGACAATTAGAATCATTTTTAATGCTCGTCTCAATCCTCCTAAAACTTTTTGTGATATCATTGGAAAACATATTGCCAAATAACGTTCAACAGTAAAACATAATACAGTCAAAATAGAGGCGGATGTAACAATTTCTAATACGACTGTACGAAATACACAAAATGCTTCTCCAAATATCCACGGCCATGATTCATAAATATTATACATTTCTACAGATAGACCTATACAAATAAGTAATAAAAAATTAATTAAAAATAATTTTCAAAAAAAAAATTTTTTTTTTTAATTACCTAAACTGATAAGTAGTAGATCTGAAACGGCTAATGAAAATAGATAAAAATTGGTTGGTGTATGCATATCGGTATTTTTCCATATTATAAAACATGTGCCTAAAATAATAAAAAGTTTAACTATAAAATAATAGATTAGAGAATTTTATTTAACATACAAAAATTTCCTGTTAATCCAGTGGCAAATATAAATGAATAAAGTGTAACGAGTAATGGAAATGCAAATTTATCTCGACGTTGATGTCCCAAAAAGTTGACGACACTTCTTAATAATTCATCTTGTTCATCTCGTGTTAAATTCAAACTAGACGGTAGTACTTGCAAGCCACTCATATAATTAATAATAAAAAAATAACTGATTTATGTACAAAAATTACTTTCACCAATACCACCGCCACAACTATCGTCACCAATCCAATGTCATAGTAAAAATAACATTGTATTTGAATATTGTTTAAGAAATAAAAAAAATATGAACATTAATAGAATTGAATAAATTTGAATAACTCGTCTTAATCACCGGAATGAGTTACTGTTGAACATAATATCTAGAAATGTCAGACAAATAAAATTATATTTCATTATTCAAATGTCTATACACTTCGTCACCTCTAACTACGTAAACAAAAAAAAGGAAAATATCATAATATCGAAAAGAAATAAAAGCATTATCCTAATCGTTAATCAAGTTAATTATCCTTCTCATATAGAAAAACATTATTTCTTATTATAAAATAGTGCTAAAAGCTTAGTATTTTTCAAGTTATTTTATAACAAAACATTTGACATATGAACATCATATGTTTACTAGTAAAACTATATTTTAAATATTCAAGAGAGAGGTAAACGGAGATATAGATCATAAATCTGATACTCTTTTAGATATGTCATAAATGAGATGATGTAAGATGAACTTTGTTTTTAGATAAGTTATGAAATATATTTACTTTATATGATTTCTTTTATTTCTCTCTCTAATAACTAACTCCTTTTAACTTGATAATTTTACTCTTCTCGTTTCTATTGAAGTCGTTCATTATATTATTTTTTTTTCTTCTTTTTTAACTACGCCTTCAGAACAAAATAGAATCAGTGATGTGATATTCATTTAAAAATGTTTTCAAATTTTCTTATTTCTAAGAAAATACATGTTCATCCTATTAGCACATGTTAAAAATACTTTAATAATTACTTTACATCAGTACATTCCCTTTTTAAAAGATAACTAATGTTTTTTTGTCTATCACTACGGTCTGCACTATTTGACTTTTATCCTTATCATTTTTTTCCATTAAATATGTCATTTTCAGATGTACTGAAACACCATATTTCTTTGATTTTAAAAGATATTCGACTTCTTGTACGATAAATTTTCAGTACGTTCTCGTCAGAAATGCGATTTTGTTCATTTTATTTCAACATTATCATCGATGATATTCACAATTGAAATTTAGTGAAATTTTAACCTAATCTACTAGTGAAAATTAAAATTTTAATCCTAACTAGTGCAGATTAAAATGTAGATGCTTGCATATGTGATGACAACATAGATTTTCATTAAGCATATCACATTCAAAGGACATTCGAAATGTGAGAGTGCGTAAGAAAATAACCTTACCATAGTATCTTACATTAGAATCTTTTTATTAGTCGTTGAGACCATTACTCTTCACAAATTATCACATATACAGATATCTACATTTTAATCTGCACTAGTTAAGATTAAAGTTTGAGTTTTCTCTAGGCATGCACTCGATTGTAACCGACTGAAATTATGCACTTTGTTTGCAACAAATTCTTTTTAATGAAAATTAATTCTCAAAAATTTTTCTTACAACTGGGTTTTGTAGAGCAAACATTTTTAATCTACTTATAAAAAAAAAGATTTCTTAAATGTCCCATGATCGGTTATCTTCGTCGAAAAACGTTTGCGACAGAAATAGAAAACATGAACAGTTTCGCCCCATAGCTCATCTTGTAGAAAAATGTTTGCTCTACAAATTTCAGTTGTGAGAAAAAAGTTAATATGCGTATTTTTCATTCAATCTGTTGCAGAAAAAAGGTCAAATTTATCGGTTATAACCTGTGTCTACCTAATTTTCTCTAGTCAAATTTAAAACTCTATTAAATTTAATTTCAACTATAATAGATACATAGAATCGATTACAATGAATAATTAATTGATTAATTAACAAAATAGATTCAAATTATAAACAAAAATACATTCAATTTTCAAAGTTTCTTAAAAGAAGTACAAAGTCGTTCTAATTGGCTTTGTAAAATCAAACAATATCAAAAGTGGACATAAAAAACAAGGTGTGAATTTACAAAAAAAAATATCTCTTTTAAGACATAATCTTCTGTTTACTCACTATCTTGAGCATTAAATTATTCAAAATTTTGTCTTATCAAATTTTAATTTCCAGGTTCAAGAAAAGAAATTAACTAATTGAAAGAAAAGCGATATGTGTATATCATGAAAAAAGACATGTAATGTTACATTAAAAATAATCAGTTTTATTCACTGGATGAAGTTGCCGTTGGCTATAGTTTATTTATTGTCTATTCAATTACCTGATCAAGCGCACACAGTTATTCTTTCTACTATGATAGAGAAGTGAAAAAGTATAACGTCTGTATATTTTAACAACGATGTATCATGTCTACTATCTATCACATCTAATTTTAATCTAACATTACCAAAATAAGAAATATATTCTTATATAATTATTAAATAATGAAAAAACAAATAATCGTTTTCTCGTTACATTTCTTTTAACAAGAAAGTGATGAACATGTTTCAAATAATCATTGATGAAGTATTTCGGATATATTTTTCGACTAACGAATATATTTTTACTGTTAAGTAGAAAGAGAAACGACACACACAGACATACATACATATACAAATGTGAAGAACTGTATCTTCTTAGTGAAAAGAAAAAATAAAGAAATATTACAATTACTGTATATTTTTTACTGTCCCTCTCTCTCTCTCTCTCTCTCTCTCTCTCTCGCTCGCACTGATTCTTGGGTTAATCATGTATATACTTTTAGTTGTGACAATAACTTTCTTATCTTTCTTTTCCTGAAGATAAATGCGGATAGCAAGGAGCAAAAGTTATTTTGTGTGTCCTCCTTGATATCTGGTTGTTGATTAAAAAAGAAATATTTTCTGATAATAAATCTTTGTTTGTATGTATGTGTCTGTGTGTGTGTGTGTGTATGTGCAACAAACTGTATTTGGCATAAATCAATTATGAAACTCTAAATATTCTTATCCGTCTTTTATTCTATTTTTCTAATAATCATAATTAGAATAATTAACCGATTTTATTTTTCTATTTAACAATAATACTATAAATAATACAACATATAAAAAATGATACTTAAACTAAAAGATAAAATAACGATAAAATAGATGATTCTATTAACTAGCTCTTCTATGTGTTCTTTTTCTATTGTTATTGATTATATCTGTAATAGACTAGGATATTAGCAGCAAGTATAAATTGAAAAACACAAACAAACAACAGTAAGCATAATACTAAGTGGTCTACGAAAATAAGTAAATATTAACTAGACGACATCTTCTTTCTTATTTCTTCTCGCATATTCAAGACAAGATGATCATCAATTTTACAAAAAAAAAAAAAAATTTTTGTTTTTGTTTTTTGTTTTGATAATCTTCGTGTTAACAGATACTGCGAGTTTTAACGATGAGTTTATTTTATATCGTGTGATGCATATCATCACCTATTATAAACTTTTGATCACAGTATCATTTGTTTTCTGTTTTAGCATCATACATTTCCGTTAATAGATAACCTGAATTTCCGTAGCTTTTTAATCTATAGCACGCTATTATCACTACACCCTGAAAACTTCTTTGGAGCAGATAGTATAAAAGAATAAATACCTGTTATACTATAGTATTTTATCTCTGTCTCAAGATAATTCTAAAACAAATATAGACACAATCTGTCTTTCATAATAGAAACATTAAACACTGACACATTTTAAAATCATTTATATCATACTTTATTAATCTTTTTTCTTAGATTTGAAACTGGATGTAAATGATCATATAGACATAGACATTCCTACATCCAAAAAATAAAAGTATCTGAACTCGATGCATAATTGTGTGTTGTTAGATACGGAAATTTATTGTCTATTGTGAAATAACATGTTTGTATTTTTTTTTTGTTTTGTTTTTTTGTTTCTTTAAAATAAATGTTTTAGTCCTTTTGTTTACGTGGTCCTTGAGCATAAATTTATGTAAGGAAGTAACAATATCATATAATACACGTATATGAAAATTCAATAAGTATGTTAATCTATTTTTCAGAGCCAATTTGATGAAAGATTTTTCGTCAGTTTGACAGTTAGATAAAGATAGGTTTGTGTAGACAATGAGAGAAGAAAATTTGAGGATGTACAGGAGGTGGGTCTCACTGCAATAGTATTCTACATCTACTTAATTTAGATTTTGGACAGCTATTGTTTACATCATATATACAAGATTTATCGATGATAAACGGTGTTTAATTATGCACACATATATACAACGTGTCAAATATGACATTTTACAACAATACCAAAATTGTAAGAATCTCTTTTAGCATAACATTTTTTTCACTTGGTTGCTTGCTATAAGATACTTTTATTCATGGATGTGTCATCAAAAGAAAAGTCATAATATCAACAAGACAATCTCTAGATGATCATGGTTAACAGAATATTTACAACAGAAATATGTCCTCGTCATAATAACATAAACTTTTTGTTCAGCCTTAATTTTACTCTTAAAAATTTTTGAAATTCTAACATCCCTAAGCCAATCTTCATATCTAATTTATAGTAATATAAAATTTCGTTCTCAAATAACATAGGTATCTACTAGTAAATGTTATTATAGACGGTTATCGTCTAATTTGCTAGTAGCACGTGAAAATACACTTATCACTATAAAGATTCATAATTGCCTTGTCAGCGACCGAAAAGTTCGAGTTCTATTACAGTTGAAAGAATAGTTAGAAAATTTCTAGGTGATGCTCAGGAACAATTTTACTAATTAATTTCTCTTATGATTTCAAGTGTATGCCAATAACAATATAAACTGAATTATAAGATATACTCTCTGATTTTTGGATATATATCATTTATACTTACTACATACTTCTTCTATTTTCTACCTACTCGAACTTTTTTTTTAAACAATTAAACACATACATATTCTACTTTTTCTTCTTAATAGATCTTTCTTTTTCCTTTTTTTCTTCTCTTCTTGTCATTAATGATGATAATGAGCAAGAATGAAATTTGAAACT